GAGAGAGAGAGAGAGAGAGAGAGAGAGAGAGAGACTGGAGTGAAAGAGTAAGAAAAAACGGTGGCTGTTTTCTACTTCACAGCTTCTTCAATTCATTTAGGTTTTACGTTCTCTATATTCTTCTTATTTTTTCAACCCCTATCTAAACCAACACCGCCTGAATCCGCAATTGCTTTGATAGCAAAATTTCAAATTCAGAGGGATTCAGTTTATTCCATTTTTGAACAAAAATGTTTTTAATATGAAAAGAAAAGTTTTTGTTAGTTCTCACAACTGTCGCCAATAAAATATTATCTTGTAAAAATAAAATAAAAATCCAATAACGCCTTTATATTATTATACTTTTCCTTCGGCACGGAAATAATTAGTTTAGAAAGTGTAACTCTTTTTCTTCGGTGCTATTAGGACCACTCTTATAAATTAGATGGGGATATTAGAAAAATTAGGTTTCATTTATTGAAGTAATTTAGATTTAATTGCGAAAACTCATCAACGTATAAATGATCGAATTTCCATGGCATTATGTGTGTGTGCACGTGAAAATGAATGCAATAGAAATAAGGTTACAGAACAGAACAGAACAGAACAGAACAGACAGACTAAGAGAAGAAAAAACTGCAGAGCATAGCCATAGAAAATAAAAAAGATAACTAAGGCAGAACATAACAAAACAGAGCTGAGCAGAACGGATCCACTCAGTGCTCCTTAAATAAACACTCTAATCAAACGATTCCTAAACTTAGATATTTCATTCAATTGTCCTTGGGGCCGGACAGCTAGCAGTTCTTGTTTAATTGAAACGATTGCTCGTAATCCTGTCATAAACATTAGGCTAAATCACAATCTTATTCAATAGAACACGAACAACAAATCCATCACACGAAACTGTCAAAATTCTTAGCGAAATAGGTACTTTATCTAGTTAACAATTAGTCTCTATCACTCAGTTAATATCAATGAAGCGACGGCTGCGGTTGACGCTGCACTATCATGTTTTTATTTTATATGGATTTAGTGTTTGCGCTAATCGAAAATAAAAAAGCGAACCGGTTCAAATTAATAGTGCTGTGTGATCACTTTACTTGTGCCCTGTTTGCAGACGCAAATTGTTATAATAGCATTTTTTTCCTTGGAAAAAGCCTTTTACGCTGGGGCGTATAGTCATCCAATTTCAGACAAAATGTCATTCTCTTGAGACTACTTGAGATTAAGAATCTTTGTTTAAGTTGTATCCATATTCATGCGTCTTCCTCATGCACAACCGTTCAACAAAGAAATGATACTCTAGGGAATGACACGTGCCCATGAGAATAAGATTCTTTGTTTGAGTTTTATCCATATCCATGTGTCTACACATGCACAACCGTTCAACGAAGAAATAATACTCTAGGGAATAACACATGCCCATGAGAATAAGATTCTTTGTTTGAGTTGTATCCATATCCATGTGCCTTCTCATGCACAACCGTTCAACAAAGAAATAATACTCTAGGGAATGACAGGTGGTCTGTATTGGGAAATCATTACGCCCAAAGTAAAGAGGTCTATTGCTGTCCTTTTTCACACTCTTCGGAATAAATGGTCATTCCCTCAAGGCTGCATGACCACGAGAAACATTTTGCTCTGAGAATATTCCGAGCATTTGAAAAATATGTAGAAAATTTATCTCTTACTTCGATTTTATGAATGTTTAGGACTCAATTTAGTTCCAAAAGTTGAGCTTTTAGAGAGGTTAAAATCAAGTTTTTAAAAAGTTTAAATTAACCAGAGATCTTCAGATATCTTCTTTGTCTTGTGGTTTATTCCTTTCTCGCTAAATTGCTGTTTCTTTTCCTGTGGCAGCGTTCTTGCGGGTATTTATTTATTCTTTTATTTATATAGTTACATATTTTTAATCTATTTGTGTGTGTGTGTGTGTGTGTATTTTACACAGCTCCATTGTAAATAAGTTTTTAACTTTATGGATTCTGTGTTAAATAAAGTTTATTATTAT